ATTTGATATCACTACCCCTGCGACAATGCACATTAGGCGCTCTTAACATATAAATAAGACTTCTTCTGCACCTACTTTGAGCTTTCATCCCCAACGCTAAGAAAAATTCCTCATGATTAAGTACTCCCTGCTTAAAGACACAGCCACATATCCCCACAGTAATAAACTTAGAATCAGGTCGTCAACTAGCAGAGAATATGAGAAGCAAACTCCTAAATGTTCGGTAGAGGAGGCACATACAACTAATCGCATGATAGGGCAAATTAAGGTACTGAAAAACATGCGCATAGAGGGCAAACTCCTTGTCGGACTTCAGTTTTCCATCCTTTGCTGCTGCTTCGTCTTTCTTCCCCTTTGCAGGCTAACCTTTCAGCTTCGATGGTCGGCTAAGAAAAAACCAAGCTACTAAATTGAAGGGCCAAACCAGCGCTGAAACTATCCACCGTAGAATATCGGTAGTCCGTTCACAACAGCAAAGTACAGTGTGAGAAAATAAATAATGTTCTCCGATCGGCAACCCTGTAATTATCAGGACATGGGATTCATTGCGAAAGTGGTCGAAAATGTGCCATACTAACCAACCATGAGGTTGTTATGCCTAAGGAAACGGTGGACTAACGTTTCTGGAGGTTCGCTCCATGTACCCAACAGAAACCTAATACATATCTTTGCTGAAATTAGAAAAAGGCAGATATTTGACTTTCAGTCAGAGTATTCAGTGAGGTTATTAATCACTGGCGATAACTGGTACGAGGATGGATGAAATCTATGGTTTTGCACTTGATACAGAACGGCAAATAACAAGCCACATGCACGTATTCCCACACTAGCATTTCATAACCAATAACAAGCAAAATATAAAGAGTCGCAGCAGAGGTATCAGCTTCAGGCTTTATTTTTCTCCAGGCAATCGGTGTAACGCTTAAATACAAACCCCGGCTTTTGTTAGTGCAAAGACAATACTCCCGATTCTCCACTGTGCCAAAATGTGCGTAGTTATTCTGTTATTCCAGTAACTGGAATTACTTATCCTAAACGAACATATAATTTACATGTAAATGTATGCACACAAGTAAAAACAGTGTGTGCCTGTATATCCAGGAATATGTGCATTGTACCTACACTTACACCATAGTATAGAACGATTTACCGCGCAAAAGGGGCTTGTACCACTGCAAGCTAAAAGAGCCCCAGGGTGTCTTCTGTCATCTCCCATCATCCGATGAATACAGTTGGCCTGTAGTCCGAGATTATTTGATCTGGCTTCAACATTGGATAGATTACAGAGAACTAGTCAACAATTCTGAAAGAACGAAATGGCTCATCGATATCGTGAGGCTTATCAAACGTCCAGTTTCGGTGGAAAACGATCTTGTATTCAAAGTTTGTCATGGTCTTGTGCGCATCTTGAGGAACGTGGTTGTGCCAGGTAGGATGTCGTGCATGAGATTACAATGGCCTCTCCAAGTCCTCCAACTTTGGGGCATCCAAACCACAGCAAGTTCTGCCACAAAATCTCTGACAGATCCTTGATGATCCCCCCAAAGGTCAGTGAAGGTGAAACCGCCAGACACTAGAGTTAACTTCAAGAGCTGCTTCTGGCGATAAAACTACCGCGGAGTAACAAATACTCTTCTCAGACACTTCTGACTCTCAATCATTATTCATGGCACTCCTGAAGTTACTGGCAGTTTGGAGACTGCTGAGGTAATCCACCACATAATCCGGTGAAGACATTCAGCAGACGAAGTAGAACCTCTTGGAGTAATGACCATGAAAGCCCACTTGTCCCAGGACCAGTTCACCTTTCAAACATCTCTGATCCCATGCTGCTTAGAATAACCCTTGAATCTCGTGACAGTCAAGGCGATCCTGGAAAAATGGCATCGTAAATCAGGTTATTTTCCCGGAGATCCCAAGAAAAGAGTATGAAGCCGGTAGATTAAGGCGAAATTAAAGGGAGATCCCAGCAGTTTCTTCTGGTCTTCTGGCGTCTTCTGATTGAATGATTCCAAGACAGATGAAAGCCTTCCTACTACATTTGAGAACGAAGAATCGTCTACCATCTCTCAGTACAGCATGCCTGAGGACTCGGATGCCTCTTATTTTGCATCCCCTTCATAAAAAGAGTCGCCAAAGCCGGTGTTTAGGGAACTAGTAGCGCAGCCTCATTGACTAAGACCACTACTGGGCCCTCCTTCTCTGACGTTTTGCACGTATCCTGGTGTATGCGGTTCGAGCTCTAATTTATCCAAGATGAGATTGTTGGTTGGGGAGTATTGTTCTGGCATGGTGGCTTTTTGCAGGCCGTGTTTTACGAGGTATAAAAGAAAGTGAAACCCATCTCGTAGGGCCCACTAAACTAGTAGTGACAGACCAGATGGATCGGAAGGAGGTACTGCTCTTCATGCCTGCCCCTTTGGTGAAAGCGCTCAAGGGTTCCTGGAGCAGAATAGGCATCAAGTCGGTTTACCCGGCAGCACTAAATACTTCGGGCGTATGGCCTTTATCGAACCCCCTCACCCCCTCCCGGAAGTGGCGTAACGCTTAATGACGGCATGATACAACCCTTGGAGGAGCCGCGGACAAGAACTACGTCGCCGCCTTTCCACGGGCCTTCACTACCACTGGTTCATTCGTCCTCATTACAGAATATCGCAAGTTGCTGCGGGAAAACTGCCTGACGGAACGTGTCTCTCTCGGTATACTGTCCGCGGGTCTGACACCGAGGTATCCATACCAGATTACGTTCCTATCGGTTAAATCATGGGTGAGTTCAATTCAATTTTCCATGTCTGCCTCCAATGTAGCCATCATGTGCTCGTTTCCCAAGAAAGTCTACTTCTAATTCATCCAGCTAGAAACGGTAAGGGGTCGGAAACTGTCGAAAAGTTGACCGTTAAACGGTCAGACAAGATCTAAGTGGTTCTGTCAAGCTCCGTTTAGCGTTCAGTTGTTCTGGACTCCAGGTGGGAATTGGTGGAGGAGATATTTATGCAAGCTGTCAGCAACAACACATCTATGATCCCCAATGTAGAAAAGTATACACTTTCAGACTCTTACGGCATTAATGATTAGATTGGAATGCATGGGAAGCAGCCTATAGCATGAGGAACGGGATGTTGCGTAAAAGTCCGCAACAGACACACTGTAAGTCAATTTGAACAAAGTGAACTGCCAGACGCATCTGTGTACAACACTGGAACTGAATCACGTCACATTTTACTCACTGGTGAAAAATCAGAGTGGCCCCTCGCTTGGCGTGCAAGACATTAATAGTATGAGGGTTAACAACACCAACTCTGGGGTAGCCAGCCTACTGCCTTAGCGATCCCAATATAACCTCTGCAGAGAGGCCCTGACAACATTACTCCAGGTAGGCACTCAAATTACCGAGTTAATTTGTCACGAAACTGAACCGCCAAAATCTGGGTGATATTAGAGGGCTTATACTTAAATAGATCTTCGGCAGCTGATGATACTCATCTCAGAGTACTCAAGGAGTGGGCAGGCGCCCTATGAAGATGCTTCTCGTAGCAGATCTTTGTAACTATGCGTTTCCAGGGTGCAGCCTGCTCCTTGGCTGGAAACGAGTGGCAGACATCCCAGCATAACGAACCGGCAAGGTTTTTCCTTTAACTACAGGCAAAGCTCTATGGTCCCTCCAGTTGCAAACTTTATGGACAGCATAGTACGTGAGTGAAATCAAGATCGCTAGCTAAGGAACCCAATTCTACCTTATTCTTCCCGTGGGTCTTCGCCCGGTAGGTAGTGTAACAGCAATCTGGTGATCACCCGGAATTGCTAGGCTCCCCTTTAAAGGGGAAAAAGCACCTTCACCCAGAGTTACACCTCTTCTTTTAGGCGTTCGACAGGACTAGTCATGAGATGGTACGCTAGAAACATCAGCCTATGGACATGTATCAGTTGGTTTACGGATCATATTAACAGCTGGCTGCCCTCGGATGGAGTTGGCTTCTCCGTGTCTCGTTGATTTACTGATCAATGGTGTGTCAAGGCTCTACTCTCAGTCCACTGATGCTTTCTGCTATCACGAATAACTTAGGTTCAACCCAAGATTGTTATTCGCCGTCACATGCCGATCATCTACAGAATTAGGGAGTCAGAGGGAATACGATCATGTATTACGCCACCCGTACTCACTTCCATCAGCTTCAAACGGTTACCTCACCTTAGAATTCGCTCGCAGAGTAGAAGGTGAAGTGACGTATATGCAGGCTTCAGTTAATACATTCGCATATAGGATCTGTCAGTAGTGGAATCTATTAACCGAATAAGTCGTAACAGTCGCTTCCCCCGTTGCCTACGGAGGGAGGTCACATGATCACTCAGGGTGCTGCGAGATGGATGGAATGTACTTAAGAATCTTCCGATAGCCCCACAGATGTTGAGTGGCAGCACTGTCCTTAGAAAACGGATCGCTAGCACACGGTGACAACTTAAGTCGAAATGAAAACCTGGGCCGCGAAAGTATTCGAACCCCAGATTCCCGGGTTACCTACCTGCTGTTCTATAAGCCAATCTGACCAAGTCATGGCTTCACCTCAATCAGCAGTGGTTCCATTCACACGCAGATAAATGTAATTCGATTGTTTCCATCCCCCCGGGCTTCTTGGATCTGAAATATAAAGTGTGACCTTTCCAGTATTGAAATCACTCTTTCGAGTACAGGAAGTTGGCGGTGGCCTCCCTCCCCTAAAGTCTGGTCCATACTATTAACTTTCGCCTCTTCCGTTGGCACAGAACTTTTTTCAGTAACCTCCTGTCAGCTCTGGGAAGGAGACTGCTTACCTTTGGGTTTGCGCATCTTATTTGCCTCCGTTTGTATGAAGAAACCATGGGGTTGCTATGGGATTAAATTATTCCTGTCACTTCCGGTCAACCATGTTTCTGAACATTGATAGGATGGATTAAGCCATGAAAAACAGGGTTGGTAAAAAGGAAGGATAACTCAGATATACAAGGCGGTCAGAAAGCAGATGCGAAAAGTAAGTAGTACCTACGAGCGTTCATGGAGGACCATACTCAATGAAACGTTTGTAGGACTATTTTGAAAGATTCCACTGAGTGGTGTTTTGGTGTCTAACTGTAGCGTATTGTTTTGGCTACACACACTAAGGAGGAAGAATTTGAACTTAATCCAAGAGCTAGCTGATCGGCTTGTTATGCCAGCAGTGTTCTCTCACGATGCACCATTCCAGAGGACGGACGTGACGGAGAAACACAGATATAGATACCGAAGGATCATTGTCCACTATTTCTATTACATGAAACGCAAAGTTTTCTCATGTTACCCTGTGTCGCTCCCTATTTGTTGTCTTGTTTGGCCTCTCTTCTTTCTTCTTCCCCCTCACCATACATCGTATTAAATCATATAACTCATTTCATAACAGCCTGAACAGCAGTCGAGGAATATGGCATCATCGAGTTTCAACAACACCAATGTCCACACATATACCATATACTCTCAAAACAAACCGACAACCACCCACCAAATCGCTTCAACCTAACACCAGGCAAATCATCAGACTTACTGAATAACAATCACATGACAAAGTGCAATCATCATTTAACATCAAGAGGCAAACTCTCAAAAACTTATTGATTCATGAAGTAGTCGTTTTGACAAACAGCTCATAACAATGATGCATCCACCATCAACATCTAACAATGTGATGAAATTTCAGGACTGCAATAAAAAATTGATGAACGTAAAGATTTCGTCAAATCAAGTGTCTGTGAAACTTTCAACACTCAGAATTGGGAAGTTACTGGGTTGTGATCATATAAGACCGATGATCCTACAGAATTGTGCTGAAGTCCCAAACATACCCATAAGCAACCTGTTTACATACTCGTTGGAAGTAGGTCAACTCCGCAAAGGAATGGAAACGTGTTATTTTTTCACCAATATTCAAGGGAAGAGGCCAAAAAACCCCTACATTTACGGAACGACAAGGTTACTTCCCATACCATCCTAGATACTGGTTGCAGATGTTGCTTGGGATTACTTAAAGGTAAACGGCATGGCTCACCTCACTCAATATGACTTAAAACCAGGCAGTCATGCGCCACATACTTGACGGTAGCTTGGGATGACTGGACCACCAGATGGGACAACAAGTAACCAGTCCAACTCATCTTTCTGAACTTGGCCAAATCTTTCGGTAGCGTCCTACTCTACACCACGCTCGCTAGGCTGCTGATGAGGCCCTCTCCAGTTGCGGATGGCCTAAGTTTTAACCAGGAGATGTGCAAAGTGATATGCCTTCGCTCACCAAAAGCGATGAGGACCGGCTACACCCTGAACAAGTTTGCAATAGCCAGGGTGTCCAAAGAGAAGGACCTAAGACTAAACTTCTCTGTCGCATTGGATACATTGTCAACTATACGGGCATGGTAGCAAGGGTGAACGCCATCACGCACTTTCCAGGAAGACGGCTTGGAGCGCTAACCTTGGGATTATTCCCGACGGTATTTAAAACCTACGTTAGACCACTCCTAGAGGTATTCAATACAACAACCCACCTCCTTTACTAAGGGGAAACGCGAATACTCTCAATAAAAACGGAGAAGGCCGATAAGGTCGGTTGTCGGACTAACAGCCAAAACATACACGCAACGCCTCAGGTGACTCAACTCGTTGACATTAACCTGTCTAGGGAAACAAGGTGACATGATAGGAGCCTAAAAGACCACTCACCAAGTGTACCACTCAACTAGATTAGCGTCACTGGTCCAAAACCAACGGTCCTGCCGGAACTCTAGCCGAATTCTCCACCACAGGGCAAAGACGAGGGTGGGAGTAAACTTCTTCCTCCGCGGAGAACGTGCCTTATGGAAAGTTCTACCAAAGAAAGTAGCCATTGCTAAATCAGTGGACTCCTCCAGACGACTGCCGGATGAGTACAAGGGAGCGAACGGCTTACCGCGAACCTTCGCCAGTATCAGCTAAAGATACTGTCATCCTTCTGTATTCTTCAACCCTTATATCCAAAGTAAGAATTAGCCCTTCTCCAGTGGCTTTTTTCACTCCTCTTTTTCTCACTCCTCAAACCTCATTTTTAGCACATTTCAGGTAACACTAAATACTTACCCGCAGGTGCTAAAGAAAATCGCTAAAGGTCAATCGATCTCGTCAACAGCTCCATATTTCCCCTAGCAAACTGAGCTACAATTTGCAAAAAATCTTCAAACAGACAGTCACTACTTCCAGAGCTATAAGCAGGAAAAGCGTAAAGACTCCTGCCACCAGCGAAGGGGCATAAAAAAGCAAGAAGAACCGAGCCTCAAAACCCAGAAGCGAGAGCTCAAAAATTGCATGTTTCGTCAGCTCTCACTAGTAAATTTAGGTGCAATAATGCACATTGGTCATAGCAACTGTTTCCAGTATTCCGTTGACGGTACACAGCTACTTCCAGTCCTTGAAATAAGACTTGGGTGTCATCATTAGTCATGATTAGAAAACCTCGGCAAGCTGTAATGCAGCTGTAGCAAAGAGCTTCCGTATATTATGGCCCTTCCTCGGAGCTTTCAAATGTTTTAATCAGGACATGTTTAGAATACTCTACTCTACTTTAGACCTCACTTGGAATACTGCATTCAGGCAACCAGCCCATGTCTAAAAAAGGATGCTGACGCACTCCAGCGTGTTCACAGGGTAGGCACTAAGCTTGTGGCAGGCCTTTCGAATCTGTTTTATGAGAAACGACTAGATCAGCTAAACTTATTCCCACTGTCTTACCGTAGAAGACAGGGGTGATCTCATACTGGCATTTGGTATTCTTAATAATGACTTCGGTATTGATATGTTCTATCTTTTCTCCCTTGCTAGGACTGACTATCTCCAAGGGCATCACAAGAAGATTCAAAACCGCGATCGAATCTGCGTTTCTCCCATCATGTTGTCAACGCCTGGAACTCCTTACCTCAGCAAATAGTATCAGGACGTTCTGTCAAGGCGTTAAAAGAGAAAAAAGATCTTCACAGATATATCTTCTGCAAGGATTATTACAGGCCAACTGGCCTACTATCCTTATAACTGAAAACTGAAAAACTAAACTGCAAAGACATTGGATATTGGATAGAGGGCACTTTGTCCATGCAAGGTCAAAGAGGATTTTGTCCAATTTGTATCATATTTCTGTCCGCTGTTCACTCCGTCACGTGGTACACCTTGTGCAGGTCTTTCACTGTCAACTGTAAGTCATTAGTTATGGGTCTCTTTTTTATATCTTCTTCAGATTCTTGGTGTTTTGGTCACTTATGTTTAATGCGACTGTGAATTATCGGTTAAATCTTATCGTTTTAAATTGACTTTGTAGTATAGCCTTTAATATTGCATCACTTTTATTTCTAATCCCTCAAGTAGCACTCAGTAGCTCTGAGTAAAGCTGAAATGTTGAAGAATAGTTAGATATTTTTGAATATCGGATCTATAGACGAAAAATGTGTTTTATATGGAAGTAAAAATCAACTTTGTGCATTTTTGTGGGTTTCAACAAACAGAATAGTACTAACTTAATTCCCAACCACTAGTTTAGAAGCTGAGTGGTTTTACTGTACAGCTGTGAAACATGCCCATTGAAGGTAGAAGATATGAGAAGGCTGGTTTCAGGTGTTTGACCATCGTTGTCTTCGTCTTATAAGCCGTATTCCACGGTGTCATCACGTGAGTAATGCAGAAGTCAGGAGTAGAGTTTCAGGGAGAAGAGGCAAGTCGGTTGACGAGGTTATGAACCTTGATAGATTGAGATGGTTGGGACACGTGTTACGTATGCCTAGTCACCGATTGCCTCGTCACACGATGTTGGTCGAAGTGGAGTCTGGAAAAAGGCCTGACTGAGGTGGCCAGACTAAGACATGGGATGAATGTATGAAGTCTGTGACTGTTGGTTTGAGCGATGTTGGGCTATGTTGTAGACTTGGTGATTGGGGTTGGTGGGACAGGATGAACCAGCTGTTGGAGACTAGATGATATGGCTCAGAGTTGATGTCAGTGGCGGATATGTATACACATATTATCTTCACCTTAACGCCGCTATACCGAATCTCACCATTATAGTGGTGAAATAATGCTGGAATTATGCATAAATGAAGCGGTCGCTGCTGAAATAATCTGGGAATTGTGTGGAAACAAAGCGGGATTTATGCATGCACGCTGAAATTATTCTGCAAGTGCGTAAATTATGCGGGTAGTCCATAAAAATCCGCTTATTTGTCGCATTTCAGCATTATTTCAGCATTCTTGTTTGATTGGATAGCTCATTCCTGCTTTCTCTCTTTTCGTACTTTATATTTCTTTCGATTGAGTTTTGTTATCTTCGTCTTGAACTTCATTGCCTGTTTACTTGATGTACTGATATAAGGTGTAGCAACTTGGACCGTTGCGCAGTAATGTCTGGTCCTATGTTAATATTGATGAATTTCAAACAACGAAAAAGGAAAAAGTGTAATCAAAGGTCACAGAAACTTTTACGAAGAAAAAAGGGTAATGCAATTAATGAAGCGCTCTGTGATCAGGATAAAGGATTGGACGTTTCCATTCTTTTGGGGAGTTGACTTACTTCCAACGAGTATGTAAACAGGTTGCTTATGGGTATGTTTGGGACTTCATCACAATTCTGTAGGATCATCGGTCTTATATGATCACAACCCAGTAACTTCCCAATTCTGAGTGTTGAAAGTTTCACAGACACTTGATTCGACGAAATCTTTACGTTCATCAACTTTTTATTGTAGTCCTGAAATTTCATCACATTGTTAGATGTTGATGGTGGATGCATCATTGTTATGAGCTGTTTGTCAAAACGACTACTTCATGAATCAATAAGTTTTTGATAGTTTGCTTCTTGATATTCAATGATGATTGCACGTTGTTATGTGATTGTTATTCAGTAAGTCTGATGATTTGCCTGGTGTTAGGTTGAAGCGATTTGGTGGGTGGTTGTCGGTTTGTTTTGAGAGTATATGGTATATGTGTGGACATTGGTGTTGTTGAAACTCGATGATGCCATATTCCTCGACTGTCATTCAGAGTGTTACGTTGGCATTACGATTTTCTGCTAGCCGTTAGAACATTCATTCTTGCCTGTTGCGTAATCATGTTTCTTAATGAATTTATCAGGATAGTTATTTTCTGTTAGTGTCTCACAATGTCGCTAGTTCCACCTCAACTGTATCTTCTGAAAATTTAGGCCTAATTCTGTAACTTAAATTTTGTTTTGCTAGATTCTTTTGTGTTGAAGACGGAGAAGGCTGAGAAAATGTGTGTATTGCCCCGTCCACGTACTTTTCCCGTTTTTTGGTGATATCATCCTCTGCAGCTGTACAATTGTATTTAAGAATAATTAGTGTGCATAAAAAAGGTGTCAGTATTTGTTATTCAACAATTCCTATTTGTTTGTGATCATCAAAATAATATAGGAATAGAAATTACGTAAGAGGTATGAACTGGAAATTTTCAGAGTTAAGATGTGATTAAAGGCAAAGAATGATAAATTCACTTCTGAGGATACACGATTCTGTTTTCGAGTGTTGTACTAGCAAATCACCATCGTCATCAAGATGAACATAAGACCAGGCATTACTGCGTAATGGCCACACTTCATATCACCACACCAAGTAACACTAGGCAATAAAGTGGAAGATGAAGGATAATCGGTCAAAGGAAGTAGAAGTAGGAAGTAAGGAAAAAGAGGATGGAAGAATGAAATGATGGAATTAAATATAGCGAATAAGATGAGGATAACCTATATATGCATCTGAGCTACTGACATCGGAACTGAGTCATATCACCTGAAGTCTCCAACCACTGGTTTCTCTTGTCCCGCGGACCCAAACCGGCTAGTCTTCATCGCCCTACATGGCTCAGATCAACAGTCAAGGACTTCATGCATTGATTTCACGTTTTAGTCTGGCCAACTCGAGCCTTTTTCTAGCTTAAACCTACTTCGGCCAACATTGTGCTACGAAGCAAACGGTGGCTAGGCATACATGTAACAAATGTCCCAGCCAGCCATCTCACTCAATGAATTTTCACGACCGCATCGACTGTCTTACCTCTTCTGCCTAAAACTCTACGTCTGACATCTGCGTTACTCACATGATGATACCACGACACACCGCCTACGATGCAAACGCAGTAGTGGTCAAACACCTGAAACCTTCTCATGTCTTCTACCTTTAATGGCCATGTTTCACAGCCATACATTATGCATCACCAAAGCTTCAAAAATGCAAAGTGTAAACATTCTCCCACACCCTTTAAACGATTACATTACACTTTGTGCAGACTAGTGAAAATGAATGTTATGCGAATGTGTCCACTATCCATCAAATAAATACTAGATGGGATATGGGAGCTGCTAATTGATTTCCATTGAGCTGTACAGAGCCATGCCGGATGTTGTTGGCATCAACGTCAGACAATCTATCTCTGCATTTACGGCCTATGTACCTGGCTTCACAAGAGCAGGTGAGTTAATATATGCACAATAAAGTGGCTAGCAATGACAGTTTATCCATCACACATGTGTTCAATGGAAAACTATAAGTTATGCGTCCACTTTATGTCAGATAGACCTACTTTTCTTGTTTTCATTGCACTGAAAAATAATCGAATCAACAACTTGACCTTATGTTATGTTAAAGGCTTCATTTAGAATACAATCTATGCATTAATTTTGTTGAAAACAGTCCTTTAAGTTCATTTCAATCTGTGTTCATTAGAAATGTCATACAATGAAACAGTCTTATGTATTAGATACCGCTTTAGACACAATTTATTGTCCGCATTCATATCATGTAAGTATACAAATTTGAGACATACCTTATATAGTCCTAATTTCCTCACCCACTTTGTGATGTGGGTAGTAGGATTTTCCATATATCTGGAACATGTGCAGAATCATTTCTATTACTACATGTATTTGATGCTGATTTGATGTGCGAAGATTCACTCGGTTATCAATCTCTCCCTCTATGTACCTAACTAAGTTAGTTCTCAATGGAGTTACTCAGTCTCATTCCTTCTGCATGGTTGGGTGTAATCACATGTATAGCCATGGTCGAAGTTTTATTTAGATTCCCAACCTTACTAGGATCTACTAATTTTCATCTAGCTAAGTGTTTTGTGCTCAGATAGGCTAATTGATCCTAATCGACTACTTTGACCTATACATTTGACTTAGTGATTATTGCAAAGTATTTCGTAAAGCGAATTATCATTATTATTAGTCCTTTGGGTTCCTGATGGAACATAGAGCTTCAGTTGCACGTCTCCATTCCACTCTGTTCTCCGAAATCTTTTGAACCTGGCTCCACGATAGCCCAGAAGCTCTCATTTCCTCCTCGCACGACCTCCATGTCACCCTTGGACGTCCAACTCGTCGCTTCTCATGGGGATTCCACTCGAGGCACTAGCCTGACGCGTGATGTCCCCAGTCGGCTTTTTCAGTGTATGCCCAATCCATCTCCACTTCCTCCTGCATATTTGTTGAGCGATAGGTTCTTGGTTGGTTCGTTCCCAGAGCTCCTTGTTGCTTATTCTTTCTGGCCATCTGAGCTTCAGTAACGAGCCAGAGTAAGCAGTTGTTGATGAATGTCTGTAGTTTATTGGAAATCCCTTTCGTAACGCACCAAATCTCTGAACCATATAGAAGCACTGACTTGACGTTGGTGTTGAAAATCCGGATGTTGTTCCACATGCTGAGTGCAGAAGATCTCCACACTGGTTTCAGGCTAATGAACGCCTGTCTTGCTTTTCCGATTCTGACTTTGACATCCTCGTGTGTGCCGCCTGTAGTTGAAACAGTGCTTCCTAGATAGGTGGAGGTTACTTCCTTTGAGTTTCTCCCGTTGGTGGTGACCGGAGTTTGTTGTTGTTGTTGGAGTTGTTGGTGCGGTATCTTCATCACCTCTATCTCTGTCTTCTCTATATTCACCTGAAGTCCCGTCTTTGCTGCCTCTTCTATCAACTTGTTAGTTTTCGCCTGTAGATCTTCAAGTTTGTGTGACATTAGACACAAGTCATCATTGGCGAAATGCAAATCTTCTAGGTTCTTTTCCGCAGTCCAGCGTATCCCCTCTTCTCGCTGCCCACTGTTTGCTGCATGATCCAGTCGACCACAATCAGCAATATCATGGGGGATAGTAGACAACCTTGTTTCACCCCTGTCTTCACTTCACTTCAAAATCATCACTGAGCTTCCCATTGTGAATTACTTGGCTGGCATGTGGCATCTTCATATAGTTGTTGAATGAGGCAGATAAAGTTTTGCGGTACTCCGTAGTATTGAAGCAGTTTCCAAATTACCTCTCGGTCGACGGTGTCAAAGGCCTTCTCAAAGTCGATGAAGTTGAGGTAGAGTTGAGTTGCCTGCCATTCTATACTCCGTTCTATGATGATGTGTAGTGTAGCGTTGCAATTTGGTCCGCACATGATTTGTACTTCCTGAAGCCTGCCTGTTCCGGTCGTAGTTTTGAATCCAGTGCATCCTTTAGCCTCTCCAGGATGATGTAAAGCGAATTATTCTGTCTAATTGGATGAATAGGATTTTGTAAGCCTACAAAGCTTATTTCTGATTTAGCCTACCGGATTCCTTGCGAGGTGAAATGCATGCATCAAAGTAATCGACCAACGCCAATTAGAATAACAGAGTACAAAAGCTGAGCTAACTCAAGGTTACTAGGTCCTAATAAGATAAGGAAGCTAGAGTAAAGCTCAGCTATAGCTCTATGCATGCAGTTGTACAGAATAGAGTAGAATAATAATGATGAGGGGAGAGATTGGTAACAGAATCTCTGTTTATCCTAATCAACACTAATTACATACAATGGGAATGATTCTGCACCTTTCTGGGGGATGTGCACAATTCTACTACACATATCACAAAGTGGGCGAAGAAATTAGGACTATGTAAAGGATGTCTCAAAGTTGTGCAGTCATCTTGATATGACTATGGATAATAGATTATGTCGAAGACCTTATCCAGTACATAATAATACTGTTCCACTCTATCTGATACATCTAATCAACAGAGTAAAATGAAACTACGAGCGATTACAGTGCCGATGTTTTACGTCTATGTATTAACAGTCTGTTAAGTTATTTCACTTTAACAGAGTGAATACATTATCATTTTGACTATCTGAGTGAGATAGCATCTGTGGTTTGTCAGACTGGGTGATGACTGAACGTGAGACGAAAATTTATACCGTGGTCAGATTCGAACCAGTGACTATCTGGTTTCCGATATGATGCTCTTCCAACTGAACTATGGATATTGAAGCATGAAGTTGAACTTATCAAAAGCGTAGTGTAGAATATCACTCTGTGGATTAATTTCTTATTTATAACCAAGAGAGGGCTTAACCATTGTTGTATTCACCTTGAATGCTTAGAGGAATTCTAACCAGGGTAATAGTTAATACAAGAACCATAGGATGACTACTCAAAACTCAGTTTAATGTATGTTTAAGATGTTTCTTGTGTAGAATTAAATTTTCCATTTGTGTGATTGTACACCTAATGATGTTGTCATCCAATTGTGAATGGGTTTCTTTCTCTCTTTTGTTCTTGTTGTTGTCGTTGTTATTATTGACACACAGTTTCAAGTGATTCATTCTAGCCTTGACATCATACTGGTAGCAATGATGGTGAAGGATAAGAATCGTCCAAAACCACCAATGACTCCATATGCATGTTTTGTTCAAGTTATACGTGAGGAACATCGGAAAAAGCATCCAACTGAGAATGTTATTTTTAGTGAATTTTCTAAGAAATGCGCTGAAAAATGGAAGGTAAGTGTTAGAAATGTTTGCTGATCCTTAGAAAGTTAACTCACGATATATTAATATTTTCATTGTAAAATTTAAACATTATTTTCGCGCCTTTTTTCTCTACGTACTGTGATTTAGGATAGTAAAGACTGATTGGTTCATTTTACACTTTTAATATGCCATTTTGTTTTCTCCAGTCAAGGTCGTTGTAGAAGTATATAAACGACTGAAATTTCAGGTATAATCGTACTGTTTCAGTTGAATTAAATGTACCTCCGATCCCACTGTCTTAGTCTTCTGGTGTCAGCTGATCATTGTGTTGTTGAGATGTCATTGTTCTATCGTTAGTCTTATCATGTCATAGTATTGTATCCTTCATATATAAATACCGCAGAATAAAACAGTCAACAAAGAAAAAGTATTATCATATGATTATTTGTTTTCTTGTTCAGCTTATGACTGTGGAACAACGAAAGTGTTTTGAAGAAATGGCAAAACTTGATACTGAACGATTTAATCGTGAAATGATGCATTATATTCCACCAACATCTGGAATTCGACGTGGTCGTAGACGAAAACGTATCAAAGATCCAAGTATGCCAAAACGTTCTTGGTCTGCATTCTTTTTCTTCTGTGATGCATTTCGTTCAAAAATTCGTAGTGAACATCCAGATTGGAAAGTTAGTGATATTGCTAAAGAATTAGGTAGACGATGGGAAGAATGTACTGATAAAGAGAGATATGAAAGACGTGCTCAAAATGATAAATTACGTTATGAACAAGTAAGTTATTTATAAAAAGTTGTTAAATTTGTGTTCCTCTAGTCTGAGTACACTTTTATCACAAACAGTTATGAATACAAGATTGTTCACTTTCTCATTATTCATGTAAACACTGGTTGTATTAAAACGGGGATATAGAAGACCTGTCGGCTATTTCTAACATTCTATGAGACAGACAAGTCGATTAGTGAAACGGTGAACCTTTGACTAAGGTGATTTGGATATGTAGTACTGCGTATGCCAAGTCATCGTCTACCTCGATGTGTTACACTGAGAGAAGCTGGATTATGTTTAGAGATAATGGTTCAGGATAGCCAGAACGAGAAAGTATGACACTAGCCAATTAAGTGCCTGGTTGTTGTTCGTCTGAGATGTACACTGTCTAGTTGGTGTTCCTGAGACGAAAGGAATCAATAGTTAAATAGTCTAGCTGGAAATCAGTTACAATCGTGGAGATGAATATTCACACCAGCTTGCAATCTCTTGAACCATTACATCTGTACTCAAGGTTCCATGTTGATTTGACCTGTCTGATGGCAGTAACTGAATGTTTTGATCTCTAATTCATTAGAAGACCAACCCGGTTTATCAAATTTCATTATCATCCCAGTGCAGTCGACTTCTGATCGTGTCTTCAACTGTGCTTATAAATGATATGATAGGAATCAATGTTCACATCGACTAAATATGTTGGCTAGCTATCAATGAATCCTTTAAGTGGATGAAACTGACGACCAACCGATCACCGATAAATATTTATGTACAGTCTTGGTTGTATTGTGTTCTCTGAGCTGGGTTATTTAGTCGCGGTAGCTTTCATCGTCTTTCTAGACAGTGGCATCATCAACACTAACTTCAGTATATAGTAAGCTGCCTGTCACTTAAAACATCAGGGTTAAATGAGATCACTCAACAAGAAATACGCCAAACAATCGTACCATTGACCAGGCAGAAGAGACATCATGCTCAAATGCACACTCAAGAACAGAAAACATTAAAAAGGCTGAAAAACAGGTAAGATATCGTTATACTTCCAGCAGACAAAAGACGTACTGCGGTAGTCATGGACAAAGAAGACTACATCAATAAGGCAAAGGAATTACTCAAAGATAGAATATATATCAACCAGTTGAAACCAACCCCATCCAAAAGTTCGAAAACCAGATGAATAAAACTTTGAAAAAACTCCTCAAAGCTGAAGAAATAAAACAAAACAAATGGTGAATAAAATTGAATGGACCTGTCCTTCTTCCATTCTACAGTAGACCAGAACTACACAAACCCGATATCCCTCTACTACCAATAGTCTTACTTCCGGGAACTCCAACATGCAATATATCAAGAGAACTTTTGAGAAGACTGAAACGCCTCTTTCAATCATGTGGACATTCTGTCAAATCACCAACAGAATTCATAGAAAAGATCAAAAGTATTAACATAGAAAACGACGAATTAATGGTATCCTTCAATGTCATAGCACTATACACTTCCATCGAACCTCAATTAGCCAAGGAAACCATGTCCCTCCTGCTCAATGAAGACACAACTCTTTCAGAACGCAAAATACTTAAGTGTTCAAGTCTGATGGAACTCATCGACCTTTGTATGACAACATACTTGCAATTCAATGGCAAGATATACAAACAGATGGAAGGAACTTCAATGCTATCATCGATCTCCGAACTAACTGCAGAAAAAGTGATGCAGAGACTGGAAGCCATCATCCTACCTGTGATTAAACTAAAATTCTGGATTCGTTATATAGACGATACTTTCATCGTCATTAAAAAAGATGATATAGAAAACACTCACAGTTTGATCAACAACGTTTTCAATGACCTCAGGTTCACAATGGAGAAGGAGTCAAACAACCAACTACCATTCCTGAATGTTTTAGTCAGTAGGAGACATACGGGGAAGCTAGAAACCCAAATGTACTAGAAGCCAACACTTACTGATCAAATCCTCAACTAAAGCACCAACACACAAAATCAGTTGCATGCGGACTCTATTCAAAAGAGCTAGAACACATTGCAGCACGACAACTTCACGGAGAAACAAAGAAACTTACTTGATGCCTATCCTAAAGAGGAACGGCTACCCACGAAACTTTATCAAAAGATGTCTATCCCGAACAACATACACTGCAAAGTCGTCGACAGAAACCAACCAACAAACGCATCATTCTACCGTGCATAAAGAAATTGATCAGAAATCACGACAAGATTACTGAAACCACTTCGTGGAATTGGTGTGGCGCCTCATAAACCAACAAATTCCCTTCAAACACTATTATGCAGACCAAAGGATGCAACAACCAAAGAAGACAAACCAAATATCATTTACAAAACCAACTGCGATAGCTAACAACTATAGTCAACACTACATTGGACAAAGTGGTCGTCCTCCTCGACTTCGTCTACATGAACACCGATTGGCTATTAAACGTCACACATGACATTTCATCACTCGTTGATCAATCCACGTGGATAACAACTATGGAGATGGATTTAATTTTGATAATGTAGAGATTTTGGATGGAGAGAGGGAACACAAAAAATATTAGAGAATTCCTAGAAACTTGGCATTCAGGTCAGTCAGCAATCAACAGATGTATAGACATAGACCCAATCTATCAACCAATGAGAGAAATGGTGAACGACAGAAAGATGAGAGGTGAAGGAGAGGAACAGCCAACAAGAAAGTCTATACAGTCTGTCAATGACACAACAATCGAAGGAAACAACCAATCACAGACCATAGCGTCAGAGTAAGCCACTAAATCACTCACGGAGAGATATTGACAGGTCACTTCATACTGAAGTCAGTGCTGATGATGTTACTGTCTAGAAAGACGACGAAAGCTCCACGACTGAACAACCCAACTCGAAGAAGACAATGGAACCAATACCTGAGCTACAAATATTCTCCACCATTTGTGTGTAGTTCATATGGTGTTCTTGTCTTGTCTCTTTTAAGACCTTGGCACACAAAATAATCCAAGACAATTGCTTGCTAACAATAGAATAATTGTAATATTCTCATAATTTCTGGCGATCATTTTCAGTCCCCTTAAAAAACCACTTTCTCATCGGACAAGACTACAACAGTGGTTTAAAAGTGGAGGTGTTAATCATTGGTTTATAGAGAGATGACTTTGCAACTAATGGGTCATGCTTCGCAACTCCACTCCAGACCCCCTACCGATGTTTGGCAGCCAGCATTCATTGCCTACTTGACGAATATGTGCAGAAGGTTGCTCAGGGCATATCATTTCAATTCAAGTTGCACAAGAGGTGGCTTAGTCTTCAAGAAAGGTGAGAAGTCCTCTTGTGATAGCCACACAGGAATCAACCTGACGAACATAGTGTCTGAAATTTTAGGTTCTGTATTTCTTCGACGCCTGAGTGGAGCTCGGCAACAACAAACCCGAGAAAACCAGGCAGACCTTAGGGCTGGCTGTGGGTGTATCGACTAAATATTCACACTGGGCCAGGCAGTCGAACACAGGCACGCTTACCGACGCCCGATAATAGCTGTATTTCTCGACGTGAAGGCGGTATTCGACTCCGTTGATCGAGAAGTCTTATGGCAATGTCTCTCACTGAAAGGGGTGCCGAGTAAGTATATCACCTTATTGAGGGCTCCCTACTCGAACACTTGTGGGTGTGTTATAGCCTACGGTGAGATGTCCAGGGAGCTATGCTCATCAAATGGTGTCCATCAAGGGTACCCACTGTCTCCATTCCTAATCAATTTTACCATAGATGTTCTTATGTAGGTCTTCCCCTCGTTATCTGATTACACAGAGGTTGACCTAATCACAGGAGAGTTTTCGTTTGACCTGGAATATGTAGATGACATAGTCGTGTTAGGTGAAGAGGGTGACAAGATGCAGAGTCTTCTGAACACTTTGAGTGGGAATTTGAGTGTTTGGGATGCGTTTCTCACCACCGAAATGCAAATTGTTGCTCCATGATTGGTTTTCAACGGTGCCCCGTTGCGGCTAACAGTAGAGAGTGTAATGGTTGAGTGTTGACCACTTCACTTATCTGGAAAGTAGGATCAGCCCTAGTGACTGGCTCATTGGCCGATGAAATCTGCACACGGATACAAAAGGCTGGACTGGCTTTTGCCAACTTACACCGCGTGTGGTGCCGCCGTGATATCCGATTGTCTATTAAGGGTCGCGTATACTGCACAGCAGTCCAGTCTGTCCTACTGTATGGCTGTGAAACATGGCCATTAAAGGTGGCAGAAATGAGAAGGCTGGCTTCAGGTGTTTGACTACGACTGTTGTCTTTGTAGTATAGGCCGTATTCCGTGGTGTCATCACGTGAGTAACGCAGAAGTCATGAGTAGAGTTTTAGGGAGTAAAGAAGAGGCAAGTCGGTTGACGAGGTTATGAACCTTGATAGATTGAGATGGTTGGGACACGTGTTATGTATGCCTAGTCGCCGACTGTCTCGTCACATAGGCTGGGAAAAGGCCTGACTGAGGTGGGCAGGCTAAAACATTGGATGAATGTATGAAGTCTGTGACTGTTGGTTTGAGCGATGTTGGGCGATGTTGTAGACTTGGTGATTGGGGTTGGCGGGACAAGATGAATCAGCTGTTGGAGACTGTAGATGATGTGGCTGAGAGTTGATGTCAGTGATGGATATGTATACATACATTATCCTCCTCTTAACGATGCTGTACCGAATCTCACCACTTTCTCATTCTTCCTTTGTCTTATTTAGTACTTTGTATTTCTTTTGACTGAATTTTCTTATCTTCATATTGTGCCTTACTGGCTTTTTACCTGATGTAGTGATATGAGGTGTGACAACTTGGATCGTTACGCAGTACTGATTGGTTGTATGTTGACACATGATGGTAGTGGCTTAGCGGATAATGCTCTGGCGTTTAAAGATAAGGGTACCTGGTTAGAGTCTCGGTGGGAACATCACTCACTGGGTTACAGGTGCATTCAGCTGACGAGTTCCAAATAGGACGAAACCCGTATCCTGGTTTCCTTCGCTAGTAGTCAGTCACCAAGATCAATATAACGTTGTAAACTTCTGTTCAACATCTCATAGTTTTAATATATCATGTATGTTTATATTTCACCTTTTTTCCCTATAGGATATGCAAAAATATAAGGCAGGCTTATATGTCGCAACAAAACGTGCTCGTGTCGAGGATTATCAAAGTGAGCCAGAAACAATTTCAGGCATCCATGATCAGTCTAATCATACGGAGAGGTTGGGTGAAACAAGTCAAATCTCAGGAGATGAACAAGTCAGTAGTGCGACAGTGGGTGGAGAAGAAGACGAAGATGACGAGGAAGAAGAGGGTGAGGAGGGTGATGATGAAGAACCAGAAGAAGAAGAAGACGACGATGACGATGACGACAACGATGAAGAGGATAATGATGAAGATGAGAATGAACAGTCAAGATCGAATGCCCACAAACTACGCATTGGTCATAAGGCATCAGATCAGATCGTCTCCAATGATACAAATAATAATACTATCATGAATACACGAAATTAAATTGCTTTTTACGATCATCACTTCTGTAAATGTTTCCTACTGTTTTTTTTCTCTCTACAGGTGGATCTCTATTTATCCACATACATTGATTTTCGTCCTCTGTTACACACACACACACACACACACACACACACACACACACACACACACACACACACACACACACACACACACACACGGAACTGCATTTACTTCTGCTTATTTTCAGTTTGTCTTGATATACCTGGCCATGGCATCATATCGATAGATGATTCCAGTATATTTCCTGTGAATAGGTAAACGAACACACACACACCTCAGTTATTGAATATATACCTCAGTATATGTGTGTGTGTGTCTGTTTATCTCTGAGTGCAATATCAAAGCTGAACCCCCCAGTGTGTGTGTGTATGCATGTGTATGTGCATATTTTCCTCAGAAAAATCAACTAGGAGTATGATCATAATCCTATCATGTTTTTATTATCATGATTTCTGCTGATAATTTATCTCACTTCTCATTTGTTCTTTCCTTTCATTAGTTCGAAACCTGCTTTGCTTATGGTTTTTTTTTCTATTGATTTTACAACTTTGATTTCATTTGATGCGCGTCCGATCACACACACACACACACAGAGACAGGGGGATTCGCATACACATACATACACACACATGGATCACGTTATCAAGGAAGCCGATGTTGGTTGTGATCATGGAGTAGAACGGTAACACAAATTCGAGACTACCTTCAGTTGACCTGTTTTTATGCTAGGCATTTTATTTATTTACCTTTATATATATACATACCACTGATCAGTAAATTATACTACTACGAATATATCTGCTTTTCTACTTACGACAGTTGCTTGTGTGTTGAGGTGTGTGTGTGTGTGTGTGTGTGTGTGTGTGTGAAAATGGGGGGTCGGAGTCGAGAAAGGAAAGTGAAGTTTTTTGTGTGTTATGATACTGTGGGACTAGTCTGCGATTACTCCTAGTTTAAGAATACGGGGATGGAATACGTCGACCACTTCACTCACTTGAGACATTCGCTTAAACAGATTGGTTGCTGATGAGATCTGAACTGATAACTTGTGTCATCTGTGGTTCTTACTGGTGAAATGTTTGACTGCTTAATACTGAGCTACAGTCCATTGTCTCCTGTTATGCTACTGTTAGACTTGAAGTGGTTGTAAGATTTTAATCATAGGTGGTTCCTTAGTATTGGTGACTCACCATATGACGTCTCTGGTGAAGAGTATCAAGCAAGATGGTTTGGACATATGCGGCCTGTATCAAGCCACCGTTTATCTCGATATGCTATGCTAGCGGAAATCGGATTAGTTTGAAAGAGGGTTCAGGGTAGCTAGACTAAAATGTGGCATTCACTGCTTGAAATCTCTGAATTGTTAGAGTCATTGAGAAACGATAGGAGTCAAAGGTTGTTGACTCTTGGTGATATGGTTGGAGATCGTTCAGAATGGTACAGATTTATTCAACTCTATAATTATCGTCTACACTAATCTTCAGTTTTTTAATTCCCTCTCCTCCTATACACCTTTGTCTGCTGTGATATCAGTCTTTTTCTACGCACTTGTTCTTTTTATCCTACTGTAAAGTGGTAGCAACTTGATGGGATAACAGGTCCCACGTTGAGTTTGTCTGTTTGATGTAAATTGATACATTTTAAAGACTTTTTTTCGAAGTGGAAGTCATCAGATCAAAGGATATAACCAGATTGTTCAGACTGATATGATTAATAATCGATTATCAAGCTCTTCAGTGGATCATTTCAGGTTGTTGATGGATCAGGTGTTCATAAACAGCTTAGATGCTGAAATTTACCTACATTCATCATTTTTTCTCTTCTGTATATTTATACTGGAGTGATGATTAAAGGTGGAATGAAAATTTGGACCGCAGTTGAATTCGAACCAGTTACCACTGGGTTACCGGCCTGATATTCTACCTCATAGCTCAATTTCTACAGCATCGGGCCGATAGCCCGGTGGTAGCTGGTTTGAATGCAGCCATGGTCCAAATTTTCATCTCACCACTAATCATCACTCAGTATAAATACTGCAAGTCTGCCAAACCATGAACACTATCCTAGATAGTCAAATGATATTCTGTATATGGTTGAAAAGTGCTATGATACAGACTTTCTAAAAGCTATTGAACACATTTAACGCATTAACCAATCATTCGTAAAGATATGTAAGATAAGGTTTTTGATTAGTTATCAATTCTTGTTAGCGTAATCTTGGCAAGAATATTATACATGTAGAGTGTACTGACAATTACTTTTTATGATGAAGCTATACAATACGGGAACAACTGTTTACAGGAATTCGATATCAAGTGATACTTTGATGTGATGATAAAATTCAGTTATTCAGAGAACGAAACTTTGACCACTGACCTATAGGAATCTAAGTCCATTTTTATGTTGTTCAGCTGGTTGTTCGTAACTACTTGACATTTAATATAGTACAGCATAGTGTTTTATGAGTTTACTGTTCATCGAGTGAATCATTTCATTATTTGATTGACGTGATTTATGATTGGCTTGATTTCTGACTTGCATCTAATTCATTTTGAGGATTTGAATATCACTAGATTTGAAGTTACTGAAGTACGCTAATTCCATGTTAAATTTGTTTATTTGATATGTACCACATAGTGATACAGCATTATTTACTGGATGACGTTTCGAACACTATTCACGTTCATATACCAGTTTATCCCGTCAAACCGATAGTTGACTTCAGAAATACCCCCCAACATATGAACTATCAAGGTACTTAGCATCGATATTATGTCCTATCAGAGACATTTCAAATTCCAGACTAGTAAACTCTAACGAGTTAAAACCGATACTTAATGACCTACATATAGAAGAGGATGAAAAATGGTTAGTTTTAATGTAACAAGTCTGTATACTAAAATACCAATCAATATGGCACAGGAGGCAATCAGAAATCAACTAAATATTAACTCAGAACTGAATCAGAGAACTAAGATATCGGTTGACGAGATCATTTAAAGCGAATGGTTGTACCTGACCTCCACAGTCTTCAATTTTCACGACAAAATATATATTGACGAACAGAAAGAGTAGGAATGGGATCGCCTATATCTTCAATCGTAGCAGAGGTTAGTTATGGATAGTTAGGAAGATATGACTTTATGAATATTGAATACTGCAAGTAAGATATGGTGGTGATATGTGGATGACACATTTAGTATGCTGAAATCGGAATACATTGACAATTTCCTCACACATAGAAAAACTCAGTATTCGATACAATCCGATTCACTTACAAGGAGGTAGGAAATGAACAAGGAGAATTACTCATGTTGGATTGCAGAATAAAAGGAAGGAGAGACGGTGGTTTGGATACTACCGTCTACAGAAAATCGACACATTCCAACATATCATTTCATCCAATGTAAAAAAAACTCGCTAGTCATTAGTGCAGACACTTAAACAAGGAATTGAAATACATTAGGGGATCCTAGAAGATTTGGATTTCGCTGATGACTTGTGTCTAATGTTACACAAACTTGAAGATCTACAGACAAAATCCAACAAGTTGACAGAAGAGGCAGGGCAGCAAAAACGGGACTTCAAGTGAACGTAGAGAAGACAAAGGGGATGAAGATACCTAACCAATAAAAACCAATCACTATGAACGGGAGAAACTTGAAGAAGGTAGCCTCTTTCACCTATCTAGGCAGCACTGTTCTAACTACCGGCGGCGGCACAGACGAGGACGTCAAAGCCAGCCAGGATCGGAAAAGCAAAGCAGGCGTTCAATAATCTGAAACCAATCAGTGTGGAGATCTTCTGCACTCCACTCAGCATGAAGTGTGAACGAGATTCGGATTTTCAACACCAACGTCAAGTCAGTGCTCCTATATGGTTGAGAGAGTTGGCGCGTTACGAAGACCATTTCCAACAAACTAAAGACGTTCATCAACAGGTGTCTACTCTGACTGGCTACTGAAGATCAGATGGCCAGAATGGTAAGAATAAGCAACAAGGAACTCTGGCTGGCCGGGCAATGAACCAACCAAGAAGCTATCACTCAACAAATATGTGATGGAAGGAAGTGGAGATGGATTGGATTGGGCATACACTGAGAAGACCGATTGTAGACATCACGCGCCAAGCCGGGCCGTTGAGTGGAACCCAGATGGGAAACGGCGAAGTGGGCGTCCGATGGTGTTATGGCGAAGATCGTACGAGAAAGAAGTGAGAGCTTGTGGAGCCAGGTTCAAAAGTTTGCAGAGAAGAGAGTGAAACGGAGACTTGCTACTGAAGCGGTATGTTCCACTAGGAACCCAAGGGACAAATAAATAATGATAATATAGGGAGCGTTAATAATCAATAGTTATCCTCTACAGTTTATCAAGAAATTCGTACGAATACATAAGAAACGAAAAGATAACAGTAACACGAGTAGAAAGGAGCTTACAGCCTCTATTGTGTTACCATTTATTAGGAAGGAACATCAGAATCTTTGTGTAAGATTTTCAACAAGGCTGGAATTCGGGTGTCATTTAAACCTACAAACTCTTGGAGGATCCGATAGAACCAATTCATCAAAATAATCTAGTTTACTAAATCCCATATAATGATGATGAGGTCAAGTATATAGGTCAGACTATATAGTTATAGCATGATATATGACCTTGTCCAGGATTTGAAGAACTGACGTATTCAAGGGAAGTGTCAACCAATTAGCGAATTACCTTGAAAAAAGAACGGGAATGGCGCTGGAAACAAGTTTATGAAATAAACAGTGAACGATGCTTATTGTATGAGGTCTAAAAATACTGTCTAGACGTCACTTAGTGGAATGGAGTTCGAATCCATGGCTCATTGTTTGTAAATCGAATACCGAGACTTATGAGCCACAACTACCTGGAATGAAATCAGCGCTACGTTATGCTCATTGAACCTTGAAGAAACTGTTAAGGCATTCATCATTGTTAGTAGGACAGGTGGTGGTGAACGCA